TAGCTCATGGTCACTATTAAAATTAATCAGTGTGCTGTTAATCACAGTGGTTGAGATTATAGTAGGAATAAGAGCTAAAAACTGGCATCAAATTGCTGTTTCCAGTAGTGGAAGGTGAGGTCTAATGTACATTTATTTCTGCCAAAACAAAGGAAAACTCATTGTGGGAGATAAGAAAGAAAAAACTGCATTTACCCTAAATACAGAACCAGAAATAAACAACTGAATAACATACTGAAATGTAAGACCTTGAGACACATCGCATTGAGTTACTTCAAAATTGTACTTTACCTATTTATGGTTTTATTTAACAAAACATTTTATTATGAAGTAGGTTTTTTATGGTACAAATAAAAATTTACAATTTCTATCGTCTGTTATGTTCTTTGTTCCTCTTTTTTTACTAAGGGTTCCTTCGATGATTGAAGACCTTACCAGTTCTCTTGCTCTTCTAGTTCTTAAGTGAATATTTTGGCAAGGATATCACAAAAAAACAAGTATTTGCCTATAGTGTTGTATGCTTTCTGGATGTCATTGAGCATCATGCTCAATACTTGGGTTGCTGCAACTTTAGTGTATATCTGATCTACTAGAGAGGACTAGTCCTTCTATGGGGTCTTTCTTTTTTTAAAAAAAAAATGACATACAAAAGACTCTTCATAGTTAATATATATAACTTGATGAGTTTGGAGATAACTACACACTTGTGAAAATCATTATCCCAGTCTATGCCATAAACCTGTCCATCAATTCGAAAAGTCTTCCTTCTGTCTCCTCTTATAAGAATACTTAGCATGAAGACCAGTCCTCTTAAATAAAAAGTTAAGCAGACAGTTTCATATCATTATCTATAGGCATTCAGCTGGACTGATCTCTATGACTTATTCATCTTTTATAGTAATTTTATATGGTAATTTTTTAATATTTATTTTTTAGATGTAATTGGAAACAGTACCTACCTTTCTTTCTTTATTCCTTTCTTCCTTTCTTTCATGTGTGCTGAGGATTGAACCCAGGGCCTCACACATGCTAGGCAAGCACTCTACCGCTGAGCCACAACTCCAGCCCTTATATGATAATTTTTAAAAAATATATGACATAGGGGCTTGGGGCTGTGGCTCAGCGGTAGTGCACTTGCCTAGTTTGTGTGAGGCACTGGGTTTGATTCTCAGCACCACATATAAATTTAAAAAAATAAAAGGTCTAAAAAATAAAAGGTCTATCAACAACTAAAATAAAAATTGTAAAAAAATATGACATAATATAGATTCACATGTTGTAGGGGTGCCTAGGAGCAGAACCTGACATGTTATTAAAACATACATGATTTATTAAGGAGTGCTCTCAGGAGTAAACTAAAGGAGAGAGGGCAGCAAGGTAGGGAAGAGGAAGAAACCCATTAAGAATATTTGTGGTCTTAGTAAACTCTAGCCTTGGTCTGTTTTGAGGACTAGTGGGGTGGAGCAATTATTGACTGCTTACTACCCCTGGGAGGGAGTTCAGGAGAGTATGATCACCAGTTTTTGGGGAAAAGGGGAAGCTACATGTCATTTGCAGTCATAGGCAGTGGCTAGGAGGTAGGTATACTAGTATAGTAAAGGAGACATGGGTGGAGCACCACAGTGTCTATTATTTTGCGTGTTTACTTTGTGCAGGATACTGTCTCAGCCTGAGGTATGAGATGAATATGACACAGTCCCTGCTTTAAAGATACTTGTGATAGTGATACAGCTGAACATGTAAAAAAATATTTACAATACAAGTGAAGTACCTTGTGCTGGTTCAGAAACTTGGATAGAAATTAAGGGAGTAAATAATTTCATAGGAGGGGTATGTAAGGAGCTTCACTGAGGTTCATCTAAGAAATGAGTAGGACCAAGTAAGGGGAAAATGGGCTAGTCAGGGAAAATGGGGTAGGAGATGGAATTGTAGGCAGCAGGAAGAGCCTCAAAGTCAGGAAGTATGAAATAAAGTGATGTTTTCACAGAATCACATGGGGCCTAGCATGTGCAGGATGATTGAGGCAGGCAGGGAAGCAGCAGGTAGTGAGAAGTGATAGACAAAAGCCAGAACACTGTAGGCTTTACAGGCCATGCCAAGGAGACTGAGCTTAGAAGGAGCAGTATCTGCTGTCATCCCTCCAGCCTGCCTTGGGCTTCAGGGTTAATCTGAAATACTCATTGCCATTTTACTTGCCAGCTCTGCCTTCTGCTCCAAGCATGTGGCTTTAAGGTTTCTAAGCCCCAGTTTCTTCATCTGTAAAATGACTACTGCTGATACGTATAGGATTGCTATTTATAATTAGAAACAATGAATAAAGATAGATCTAAATATTTACTATCATGGAATCATTCTGCTGATATTTACTACTCTGTCATTTTTCCTACAGTAATTAAAACAGTAGGGCTGGGGCTGTAGCTCAGTGGCAGAACACTTGCCTAGCATGTGTGAGGCACTGGGTTCGATACTCAGCACCACATTAAAAAAAAAACGAATAAAGGTATGCTATCCATCTACAACTGTTAAAAAAAAAACAGTAGTGGTGTCATGGAAATGGACAGACAGATGAGTGGACTTTAATAGCTTAAACCTATAAGTGAGCTTGCTTTGTTTTCTTTCCTGGAAATCATTGACAGATCAGTTTCTTATTTCCCAAGGCTGGTGTTACTAGTATTAGATAATCTCTTTCCCAGGTTCTTTACTGAGAACACAAAATTTTTGGTTGTCATCTAAATTTTTTAAATGGTTGTTTCTGTAATAGTTTAAAGAATATCAAGTTTTGCAGATTCTTAAAAATCTCCCTATGTAAAGAATAGTTTGGTAACTCTTTTACTTGAAGAATAGAGTATTATAGAAAATGGAGAAATAATTTTATCTGAAGCTCATAAAGTCAGAACTTCATATGAAAGGAGTATCTATCTTATAAAAAGTCTTAGAGTATCTATCTCATAAGAAGTCTTAGGTCTCCTGAAACTCTCAGGGAGATAAAAGAGAATCCCTGCTCACTTGGCTTTCTCCATTGAGTTTTAGAGAATGATATATCTCTCCTATGGCATTTGTTGCCCTCAGTTCCATCATGAGTCATCCATTTGGAGGCTGCATTCACAAGACAAAATTTTTCTATTGCTGTATAGAGAAGGACACCTAGAATGAAATCATATAATCTTTTTTGATCATAACCTTTCTACTGTTGTAGTTCTGACTCCAGCTCCCTGCACTTTCCCAGGAATGGTCCCCCTGGTGGTCCCTCCTGCTGTGATTACAGTCTAGGGTGAAGGTTAGCTGGTCAGATAAAACCAAGGCCTGGAAGGAGGCTCAGTTTGGGAGAATGGCAAGGGCTGCTGACCAGGAGGGACTGAGACCCAGAAACATTTAAGTCAAGGGTCACAAACTCAGACATGTAAATTAAATGAGTGAAGCTGTCTGGCATTGCTGTTGTTCTTCCTCCTCTTTCTCTTCCTCCAGCTGAATGAAGCTGGCCTGCTGGGTTTGCTGTTACTGTTGCTCCTCTTTCTCCCCCTCCTCCTCTTCTTCCTTTTCTCCTTCCCCTCCTCCTCCTCCTCCTCTTCCTCCTTTCTTCTCTTCCTTCCTCCTCCTCCTTTATTTTTTCTTTGGTAATACTGGGGATTAAACCTAGGGGGCACCCTACCACTGAGCTACATCATCCCTTGCCCTTTAATTTTTTATTTTGAGACAGGGTCTCACTAAGTTGCCAAGGCTATCCTTGACTCTGTGATCCTCCTGCCTTAGTCTCCCAAGTCACTGGGATTATAGGTGTGCACCACTGCACCTAGCCTATTGCTGTTCTCTTTGATGCTACTTAAACAGTTCTCATTGGTAAAATGTTAAATAATTTTAAAGGATTTTTTTTAGCCTTATTAGGTACAGTTTAAATGCCACAAAATTCATCCATTTAAAGTGTGAAATTCTGTGGAATTTAATACATTTACAAAAGTGTACAACCATCACCATCATACAAATTTAGAGTATTCCCATTGCCCCCAAAAGAGCATGTTACTCATTTGCTTTTAGTCCCAGTTCTCACCCCCAATCCTAGGCAGCCACACATCTATTTCTTATCTCTATAGATTTGCCTATTCTAGATATTTCATATAAATGGAATCATACAATAAGTGGTCTTCTTTGTATGACTTCTTTCACTGAGTATGTAATGTTTTTGCTAAGTGTTTTTAACCTGTTTTGTATTTGTTTTACATGTTATAATATGTATGTATCAATACTTTGTCCCTTTTAAAAATATTTTTAGTTATAGTTGGATACAATACCTTTATTTTATTTTTATGTGGTGTTGAGGATCGAACCCAGCACCCCACATGAGCTAGGTAAGCGCTCTACCTCTGAGCCACAACCCCAGCCCCTACTTTGTCCCTTTTTATTACTGAGTAGTATTCTATAGTGTGAATGTTCCACATATTGTTGAACCATTCGTCTGTTAAAAGACATGTCAATTGCTTCCAGTTTGGGGCTATTATGAATAAAGCTACTATAAATACTTGTGTGAACATAAATTTTCATTTCTGTGATAAATGCCTAGGAGTGCAGTTGCTGGGTTGTATGGCCATTGCATTTTTAATTTTTTAAGATATGACCAAATTGTTTTCTAGAACAGTTGTACCATTTTACATTTCCACTAGCAATGTGTGAATGATATATCCATATTTTCTCTAGTACATTTTCATTTTTTTACTTTAGCCATTCTAATAAATGTGTAGCGATAGCTTGTTATGGTTTAAATTTGTATTTACCTAATGTGCAATGATGTTGAACATCATTTTATGTGCTTATTTGCATGTCCTTTTTGGTTAAATGTCTGTTCATTTTAATTGGGCCATTTGTTTCCTTGCTGTTAAGTTTTATGCATTAAGTATTTCTAATATAAGTTTATTGTCAGATATGTTTTGTAATAAATATGACATATGTATAATATGTATGACTGTTATGTTCCATTTTGTAGCTTGTTTTGTATCTTTTTTTTAAAGATGGTTTTTCACTGTGTTGCCCAAGCTGGTCTCACTCTCATGGATTCAAGTGATCATCCCACCTCAGCCTCCCAAGTAGCTGGGACCACAGGTGCACACCACCACACTCAGCTATTTTGTGCATCTTCTTCACAGGGTCTCTTTTAGAGCAAAAGTTTTTCAATTTAATAAAGGCAAATTTTCTTTGACAAATCATGTTTTGGATATCAAATATAAGAATCCTTTGCTTGGCTCTAGATCTTGAAGACTTTCTCTTCACCTAGAGAAGGGTCAGAGAATGAGATATGATGACATATCAGAGATGCAATGTTTCTGGTTTTGAATATGGAGAAAGATAGCCAGGATCCAAGGAGTCTTCTAGAAAGAATTGCAGCTCTGCTGACATCTTAATTTTAGCCCAGTGAGATCTGTGTCAAGCTTCTGACCCAATAACCTGTAAGATAATAAATTTGTGTTATTTTGATACACTAAGTTTGTGGTAATTTGATACTGCAATGTTAGAAAATGAATAAATAAATATTTTATATTTTATTTATTTTGTGGTGCTGGGGATCAAATCCAGGGCCTTACCCATGCTAGGCAAGTGTTTTCCCACTGAGCTACACCCTAGCCCAGATAAATAGATTGTTTTTTGGTTGGCACTGGGGACCCAAATCCATGGCCTCTCACATACTGGGCAAGCATTGTACCATTAAGCTATATACCCAGCCCTTTTTTTTTTTTTTTTTTTTTTATTTTGAGACAGGGTCTCTTTAAGTTGCCCAGGCAGGCCTTGGTCTTTTGATCCTCCTGCCTCCATCTCCTGAGTAGGGGTTATAAGCATTCAGTAAGTACCATGGTTGGCTTAAATAGATATTTTTAAAATATTTTTTAGTTGTAGGTGGACATAATACCTTTTTATTTTATTTATGTGGTGCTGAGGTTCGAACCCAGGGCCTTACACATGCGAGATGAGTGCTCTACTGCTGAGCCACAGCTACAGCCCTTTAAATAAATATTTTTGAAAAGCTCCCTTTAGTGGGTCTTGGTGGCACACACCTATAATCACAGAGACTTGGGAGGCTGGGGTAAAGTATCACAAGTTCGAGGCCAGCCTCTGCTATATAGCAAAAATTCTGCCTCAGAGTAAAAACTAAAAAGGACTGAGGGTGTACCTTAGTGGTAGAGTACACCTGGATTCAATCTCCAGTACTGAAAGAAAAAGAAAAAGCAAAGCTCCTTGTTCCCACATTTTTATTGGCACATTATAATTTTACATAATAGTGGGATTTGTTGTTAAATATTCATGCATGCACACAATATAACAATATATTTTGGCCAATATCAATTCCCAACACTCCCCCCATTTTTCCCATCCTCCCACCTCCTGGTAAGAAAAACACCTTTTAATAATACTTAGGATTTTAAATCTTTGGACAAGATATTTATCTGGAAAGTTTGCATATGTAGATCATCCCTTATAATATTAGGCAAATGAAGTGCTACTGTAAGTACATTTATACATTTAGTAGGAAATAGAAAATATATTACTTTTATTTCTGTTTAAATTTCTGTATTGATTGTGACTTTAAAAAAATTTTTTTTGTTACCAGAGATTGAACCCGGAGCACTTAACCACTGAGCCACATTCCCACCCTTTTTAAAAGAATTTTTATTTTAAGACAGGGTCTCACTAAGTTCCTTAGGACTTTACCCTCCTAAGCTGCTGGGATTGCAGATGTGTGCCACCATACCCAACTCATTGTGACTTTAAATTGTACATCACTAGCCCAGCATGGTGGCAAGAATCTGTAATCCCAGCTACTTGGGAGGCTGAGACAGAAGGATAGCAAGTTGGAAGCCAGCATTGGCAATTTAGTGAGGCCTGTATCAAGATAAAAAATTTTTTAAAAGGGTTGGGAATATAGCTCAGTGGTAGAGTACTCCTGGGCTCAATCCTCAGTACCTCAAAAAATAAAAATAAATAAATTATACATTACTTTTTGATAAGAATTATTTTGTTGTTGTAATAGCATTTATTGAGATATAAGTCTTATACTACACAGTTCACTGACTTATAAGTATACAACTCAGTGATTTTTAATATATTCACAGAAACGTGCAACCATCATCACAGAGCCTTCTGGCTTCCGTCATTTCTGATGAGAAGTCCGCTGTTAATCTTATTGGGGTTCTTTTGTAAGTGGAAAATTTTTTTTCCCTTTCTTGCTTTCCAATATTTTTTCCTTGTGTTTGGCTTTCAACAAATTTTACTGTGGTATTTGTAAATCTCTGCATTTATTCTACTTGGAGTTTGTCCAGTGCCCTATGTATGTAAATTAATATTTTTCATTGAGAAGGGTTTTTTAAATATTTTTAGTTGATTATACATATACAGTGCCTTTCCTTTGTTTATATGATGCTGAGGATCAAACCCTCACACGTGCTAGGCAAGTGCTCTGCCACTGAGCTACAACTCCAGCCCTGAGAAATTTTTCAAATGTATTTTTTCTGCTCCTTTTTTCCTCTCCTTCTGGTACTTATCTTATATATACAATATGTTTAATGGTGTCCCACATTTCTCTGAGGCTCTGTTAATTTTTCTCCACCTCTTTTTCTCTCTAAAATTCACACAATCTCTATTGATAAACTATTTCAAGTTCACCAATTCTTTTTTCTTTCAGTTTAAGACTACTTTTGAAGCCCTTTAGTGGATTTTCACTAATTGTAGTTCTCAACACTAAAATTTCTGTTGGATTCTTTTTTATAATTCTTGATATTCTCTGTTTGACTAAAGCATTAACATTGTGCTTTCCTTTACTTATTTGGTGGAGGTGGGGTGTTGCTTTTCTGCAATATTGAGGATTGAACCCAAGGCCTTGTGCATGCTAGGCAAACACTGAAGTGCATCCCCAGCCCTGTTTACTTTGAGACAGTTTCTTGCTAAGTTCCAGACTGGCCTCAAATTTTCAATTCTCCTACCTCAGATTCCTGAGTAGCTTGGATTTCAGGCATGGTTTTCTTTAGTTCTTTGAGTATATTTACATGATTAATTTGAACTCTGAAGTCTGTGCTTATTAATTCCAACATATGGTTGCTTTCACAGGCAGTTTCTGTTGCTTGTTTGTTTTTTTTGTTTTGTTTTGTTTTGTTTTGTATTTTGCTAGTGTTTGGGTCATACTCTTATGCTTCTTAAAATGTTTCACCATTTTTTTTGTTGGAAACTGAATGTTTTAGATAATATAGTAACTCTTGGCACTGACCCCCACACACGGTTCTTTATTGTTATTTGCTTATTTCCTTCTGTAGTGATTGGCTAAATTCTTGTATTGAAATCTATTTATTCAACTCCCACCCCTGGCCTGCAGTGTGAAGCCTCACAAACTCCATATGTTCACAGTCACCTGGGGTGACAGTGGTTTTTAACAGGGCTCCTTTTAGTTGTCTTTCTGACCATACCCAGCTTTTAAATTCCACTAATTGCTCCTATTGTTCTATTGTTTTTAATAATGTCCTGGGGTATAAATTGCCACATGAATTTATCCATTCAAATTAGGCCTCCTTTAAAGGGATAATTGCAAAGACCAGTGTTTGAGTTTTTTCTGAAGCTAGGGCCTAGTTCAGTGGTCTAGTGCTTGTCTAGCATGTATAAAGCTCAAGGGGTACAATCCCAGCACCACGAAGAGAGAGAGGGATGTTTCTTCTGATTTTCTGTGGCTTCTCCCTGCTATCTCTGCTTGGTTATCTGTTGTATAGTAGTCAGCTGCAGATGAAGTCAGTTCCATTGATGATAGAATTGTAGCCCTCTCTGTATGACCTGCCTCTCCCTAGGAAGTATCTCTGAGCTTAGATAACATGGAATGGGGACAACATTGTGCCTTCCCTCTGAGGCGCATGGCAACCTCAGGTCTCCTAGGTTTGCCTTTCCTAGTGCAGAACCCCAACCCCACAAGCTAGGGCCAGAGTAATCAAGGCCTCAGCATTCTGGGTGGCACCACACTAAAAATAGCCTCCATCTCATGAGTGGGAACTATGTGGAAGAAAAAGCCCTTACCTCTCAGCCACACTTACCTGGAACTTAGCTTCAGCAGCATCTAGCTAAAAACAGAATAAGAAGTGCTGACATCTGGTTCTCCCAGCAAGTAAGGCTGCCAGCTGGGAGCTAAGGGAGAGTGAGCCCTATGTAGCTGCACCAATCTCACAAAACCTGTGCTGGGAAGAGAGACAGAGGGAATGGGTCTAGGTCCATATACCACAGATTCCCATTTTATTTACAGAGTTTTAGTAGATCTTCTTGAATAAATGCTTCTTCATTTGCTGTATGTGTTTAGGATCACTTCTAGAGACTAAATGATTGGTTTGGGGGGGTTGTTATTTAATTGAAAGAATTTTCACCAGTTTCACTGAAGTGTGAGTCTACAGAGCTCCTTACACTGTCATGCCAGAAGTAAAACTCTAAGCCGTTTAACATACTGTCTTGATGTATTCATAATTGCTCAAAGTGGTCATGTACTGGTATTACTACCTCCTCCATAGTGTATATGAGTGACTCTAAGGTACTATCCCTGATCATTATTCCCTGTAGAACTGGGATAGCCCTTAGTAACATTTTGTAGCACTGTCACTGTCTTTTTTAGTTTATATTGTATTTTCAACATTTTGTGAGTTGAAGTGTCAGTATCTTCTTTTTTCATATACTGCAGTGCCATTGTTTTCCCAGAAGGGTGAAATCTCCTTTATCTGTTACTGGCCACATTCTGGGAAGGACACTTGAACCACTAGAAGTTTTAGTCCAAAATATTCATTCTTCACAATATAGGAATTTTCTTTTTTAATATTTATTTTTTTAGTTTTAGGTGGACACAATAATCTTTATTTTTATGTGGTGCTGAGAATCGAACCCAGTGCCTCATGCATGCTAGGCGAGCGCGCTACCACTTGAGCCACGTCCCCAGCCCCAGTATAGGAATTTTCTATAACATTCTTTACAATGTATGTATAGTTATAATTTTAGATTAGGCTACTTGTTTGGGAGATGAGGACAGAGAAAGGAAAAAAGTATAGGCAGAAAAAAAGAATGGTCATGCTTATTCATTCTTCAGCCAGCCATGTCTCATGCCTTTCAGCCTCAACCCTTGACAGTTCTGCTTTTATGTTTCCCTTCCTGCTCTTCCCTCCTTGGGATCTCTGTCTGAAGACAACCTCAGCTGCCCTTCTTTGTTTTGGTGACAATGGACACATCTGAGGCTCTAGCCAGCACTATACTACTCATCCTCTGTGGCTTGGGCTTCCTCCTAAGGCTAATGTGTGGCCTCACCTAGTCGTCCACACACTTTGTATTATAGGATTTGGTAGTATTTTTTCCCATTACTCTAGGCCATTTGAGAATATTCTTAATAGAAATCATTTACTTGGTGTGATTTTCCTGCTGCTACTTCTGGAATCTGTGGGATAGTGTTGACTGACCTCCCGTGTATATTGACTGCTTCATTCAGTATTGTTCTCTTTCCCAGGATGCTTCAGGATGAAACGCCATAAGACTCTCACCAGCAGTGACAGTTCAGACGAGTGTGAGTAGAACTGGCTGGCAACTAGTAACCATAATATCTATGCCCCTTGAGGATTTCTTCTTTGATTTGAGAATAAGCCATTTCATGTATCTTCTCATAGTTAAAAAAATAATATTTCTGGGAAGAAAAGTTCAGAGTCCCTTTTTCCTACTCATTTAAATTTCATTATAGATAGATAAATTAGGTGGAAGAGTCAGTTTTATATGGCATATAACATTGTTTTTTGCTTTTATTTTTCCTAAAAAGCAAAAGCCAAATCTAATAATGCTTTAACAGAGTTTCTTTAGAAAAGAAAGTAAGTACAGGAGCATAAATTGTAAGCTCTGATTCTAATTGTAGCTAGGGTACTAAATGTTTGATTGTAGGTCGTTGTTTATAAAGGCCCTAATACCAGCCTTTGGGGAAGTGCTTAAGGATACACAGAATATGTGCTCCATATTTTTAGTTTTTCCAGATACATTTTCTCTAGGCAATTCCAAAATACAATGAGGTGTAATTACACCAAATTGAATCTTTCCAGCCTTGGCATTATTGAAGTTTTTGCACTTGAGAAGGTCACCTATAAATGTTATTAAACTCCATTGTGAGACTCTCTTGGGTACAGTTATTTTATGTAGTAGTAAGAGATCTCTGTGGTCTTGTCTATCATATATTTCATAATTCTCTTGGATGGCATTTAGTTTTATGTCATTTAGTTACATTAGTGGGTAGTACATCTTAGTATTTTTTTCTAATTATCTTTTACAGGTCCTTCTACTTCCTTTACTCCTGGCCCAATGTATAGGAGCAAGTCAAAAAATCCAAAAGAACACAAGAAACCTGCTGAGGTGAGATAATATATTTAATTTTTAGACTTAAAAAAAACAGATAGCTACATCCTGCCTCATACAATATCCAGAATCTGAAGATGTGCAAAGTAAAGCATATGCCAGCAGATAAAGCTGTTTTCCAATGAGTTTGTTTATTTTCCAGAAAGATTCCATTTCCTTTCCTCTCTGAGAGAAAAATAATCTTTATACTGCTTTCATTTTTTTAAAGAGAGAGAGAGAGAATTTTTTAATATTTATTTTTCAGTTTTTGGTGGACACAACATCTTTATTTTTTATTTTATGTGGTGCTGAGGATCGAACCCAGCACCCTGCGCATGGCCCCATGCATGCCAGGCAAGCGTGTTACCACTTGAACCACATCCCCAGCCCCCTGCTTTCATTTTTGGTAATGACAAGTGCCTGTCTTTAGAATATTCCTCTTCTTGTCAGAAAGTCAAAGAGACCCAGAGAACTGGGAAGGATCTCCTGACCTATGATTGAAAAGAGCTAGATTAGCAGGTGGGAGATGGTACAGGAAAGGAGAGGTTAGAAAGTTGTGGATGGAGAAGGAAAGGACCAAGAGGTCTGGAATCTGAGCTGTGGCCCTTGGAGCACTGCTGGTCCAGAAGAAAAATGGGGGGGGTCACTCCTTATGAGTCTGATCTTCTTCTGCCCCAAGGATAGCAAAGTGCCAGAATTACACTTGGACTTGGTAATGGTTTAGTGGATCATACAGACTTTCCTCTGTGATAATTAAATGATGAGAAGCTGATCTTGTGTATCTTCATTTATACTATGAGTGAACTTCTTGGCTATAAAGGAAAAGATATTGTATTAGTTATCTGTTGTTGCATTATACATTATACATGATCACAAAATTAGTAGCTTAAGAAGCAGCACTCATTCATTATCTCACTTTCTGTAGGTCAGGAACCTGGGCACATTATGACTACATTCTGTGTTCAGGATTTTTCAAAGCAGCAATCCCTGTGCTGATTAGGATATATTCTCATCTGGAAGCTGAACTAGAGAACAATTCACTTTCTTTTTTTTTTTTTTTTTAAGAATTCACTTTCAAGCTCATTCAGATTGTTGGCAGAATTCCTCCTTAGAGCTGGAGGATTTAGATCTTTATTTTCCTGCTGGCTTTTGATGAAAAAAACCACTCAGTTCCTAAAGGCCACTTACAGTTTCTTGCCATGTGGCCTTCTCCATAGGAATTTTTACAATAAGGCAGTTTACTTTTTCAGAGCCAGCAAGTCTGCTAAGATGGAGTCTTATATAACATAATATAATCATGGAAGTGACATTCTATCACATTTGCTATATTCTATTGATTAGAAGCAAGTCACAGGTTTCACCCACACTTATGGAAAAGGAGAAACTCACTGAGGAGTACTGCTCCAGTGTATCCACCAGAAAGCATTTTGCCTTTCTCAGAGGTTACTTTTCATTTACTTACTTTGCTAGAGATCTGTCTAGGCACAATAGAATATTAGTGCATTTTCATGTGTCTGTGTCATACTAAAAAACTCAGGGAATATAATGCACATAAACAGGAAGTGGAAGAAACTCCTCACCTATTCAAAGGAGATTTTGACTATGGAGTGGTGATTTAAAACTTTGTTGCCTTTCCTTGTAGGACATAAAACAACTCAAGGACTTTGGATCTTGAGGCCTGTGGCCTCCAGATCAATGGGAATAACAGTCTTTTGTTGGAAGAATTGGGGAATCTGAGCTGTTAGAAGCAATTTTCTCATTTGTATTTTGCATTGTGTTATAAAAGGGAGAACCTGGTGATATTTCTATGACAAAACTAGCCTTGGCATTAGAAGAACTTGATTCCATGTTCTGCTTTGCTTCATCCCTTTGAAATTATTTGTGTTATCAGCATTACATGATTATTATCAAACCTACCTCCCATAGCTAAATTTATTGAAGATTTTTGTACCAAGAGTTGTATAGTAGATCATCTAATAACAATTATATTGGGTTATCTACTATTATTGGATTATGCCCAAACTTGACACTTCCTGGATGTTTCTTCGAAATACTAATTCCAGACCAACTTTATCCTGTGGCACTAGTGCATTAATATTTACAAGGAAGGTGCCTGGGATCTAGTTTTTAAAATTGATATCAGATGATTTTCATGATAAAGTACCTGGGGAAATCATGCTTTTGTTGCATTCCCTTAATGGTATTAAAAAGTAGGTATTCTGTTTGCAGGTGATGAATCTGAGGCTTATAGAAGTTACTTATCCTGGGTCATCTGAATAAGAGCAGAGCCAGGCTTGGTGGTGCACACTTGTAATCCCAGATACTCCAGAGGTTGAGGCAGGAGGATCATAAGTTAAAGGCTAACCTTGGCAACTTAGCAAGACCCTGTCTCAGAATAAAAAATAAAAAGGATTGTACTGGGAATGTAGCTCAAAGGTAGTGCTTGCCTAGCATGCATAAAGCCCTGGGTTCAATCCCCAGCACCACAAACAAAGGAAAAGGAAAATAAAAAGGTTCAGGCATGTAGCTCAGTGGTAAAGCACTCCTGAGTTCAATGTCCACTATCGCAGGAAAAGAAGGAAAGAAAGAACAAATAAAAGAAAACTGAAATTTAGGTTTGGATTCACCCTGAATCCTGTCCTATTAGCCTAATCCTGTCTTAATATGCATTGAACAATTATGCAGGGCATAATAATTGTTTATATTTATTGAAACTTTGTCAGTTAAGAAATATGAGACAGCACCAATATTATCTTATGAATAGCTATAATAAAAGTTTCCATAATTAAGTGAGAGCAGAATTTGAAAATAGAACAGTTGCCTAGAATTTAACAAGGGCTGGGAACCCAGACAGGAAGGAGAACGTGGAAGGACTCTTGGTAAAAGAAGAGAAGTGGAAGTAAATGGGAAGCAGCAAAGGTGACAAGCACTTATTGCTGCCTTTATTTTTTTTTTCAGTACTGGGGATTGAACCCCAGGGGTGCTCTACCACTGAGCTACATCCCCAGCCCTTTTTTATTTTTTATTTCGAGACAGGATCTTGCTAAATTGCCTATGCTGGCTTCGAACTTGAGATCCTCGTGCCTCAGACTCCCGAATCGCTGGGATTACAGGCGTGCGTCACTGCGCCCGACAACAAGCATACACTGCTTACAGGTGAGGCTGAGGGCAGCCATCAAGGAATAGTTGGAACCACTGTGAATTCTTTCTTCCTATTTGCGTCTTAAAACAAAAACAATATCACCTTTTGTTGCTTTCTCAGAGTATCCATTTATGTGACATTTCTTTTCAGTTTTTTTTTTTCTTTTTAGGGGTGGGTGGTTAGTACTAGGGATTCAACCCAGGGGCTTGTGCAAGGTATGCAAGGTAGGCAAGTGCTCTACCACTGAGCTACATACCCAGCCCTTTTATTTTTTATTTTAAAACAGGTCTCCCTAAATTTCCCATACTACCTTCGAACTTGTGATCCCCCTGCCTCACTCTCCCAAGTAGCTGGGATTATATGATGCACCCCATGCCCATCTATTTCACATTTCTATTAGCAAAGTATCACTTTTCTGTTCAAATCTGACTTTCTAGGTTCTACTTGCTGTTCCCATTTGTTTCAAACAATTGTTATAAAGCTCACTTAAGAAATGTAAATAACTTTCTTTCATGTGCAAACAGGGACAAAACTAAATCAGACCGCATTTATTTTGTTTGGTAGCCTGGATGAATTCTTCAAGGGCTATCTTAGTTTAGACTTCAAAATACAACCCAAACAAACCCTGATAAAAGAAAACATATCACACTTTGAAAAGCAAATAAAGATATTTGCTTAACATAGTGCACTTTTCTGGTATTATCATTCATCTTTTATATCAGTTTCCACTTGTCTGGAATACTTAGGGGCATTGAGAATTAGTAACCTATCCTCTTTTACTTGATAGTTTTGAAAAACATACTTTTATCATCTAAACATTAGTGGTCGTGTAGATTTAGCCACATGTTTTTTTTTCTAATAATCTTCCTATTTGGGGATTTTAAATTTACAGAAAAGATGCAGAGATAGTATTGAGAGTTCATGTACAGCCCACATTGGATTTCCTTTTCCCTGAATGTTAACTAACATCTTACATTACTGTAGTACATTTGTCAAAACTAAAAAAGCCAGTTTGTTGAAATGAACCCAACTTTTTGTATAACCTTTAAGCACTAATTTTAAAAATCATCCTCAAAAAAACTAAAAAAGTCAGTACAATGCATTAATATTAACTAAACTCCAAGCTTTGGGGGATTTTTGTCAGTTTTTTCCACTAATATTCCAGTATTCAGTCCAGGGTACAACATTACATTTAGTTATCATGTCTTCTCAGTTTTCTCTGGATTGTGACAGTTTCTGAGTTTTTCCCTGTTTTACATTACTTAGACAGTCTTGAACAGTACTATTGAGTATCCTGTAGAATTTTCCCCAGTCTGTCTTTGTCTGATGTTTGTTTTACAATGAGACTATAATTAAGGTTTGGGAGAAGAATACAACAGAGGTCAAGTATCCTTCTCATTGTATTATATAAAGGGCTTATCATTTGGTTAAGGTAATATTTATGAGGTTTCTCCATTGTAAAGTTCTTCTTTTTCCCTTTCCTATTTGTTCTTTGAAAGCAAGTCACCAAGGGTGACCTACTCAGACCCAGTGATGATTTTGGGCAAGGATTAAGCTTTACTTCTTGAAGGGAAGAGTTAGTTAGCATATATTATTTGATAATATTATATAAAGAAGTTTTATGTCTTCTTCCTGGTTTTAAAAAAATTATTTATTTATTTATATCCATATGGGATCACATATATTTTACTTTATACTTCAGGGCATATGAGCTGGGAATATAGCTCAGTTGGTAGAGCGCTTGCCTCACATGCACAAGACCCTGGGTTCAATCCCCAGGACCACAAAAAAAAAAAAAAAATCTACTTCACGGCATAACCCAATACTACATACTTTATTGTGCTGCTAAAATTGTTCTAAAGTCAGTGAAACCATCTCTATAATTTTTCTCTTTTTAATTCCATTAATTTTCATTCTTTTTTAATATTTATTTTTTTAGGTGTAGATGGACACAATACAATGCCCTTATTTTTATGTGGTGCTGAGGATTGAACCCATCTGGCCTGTGCTAGGCAAGCGCTCTACTGCTGAGCCACAATCCCAGTCCCATCATTCTTTTTTAAAACAACATTTATTATTTGAGCTAGTCCCAAAGTCAAAGGTCGAATGCTTTCTCTGATATGTGAAAGCTAATCCAAAATAAGGTGGGGGACTTAAAAAAGAATAGAAGAAAGATAAGTGGAGTATACAAAGGGGAATGAGGGGAAGGGAGGAGGGATAAAATAGGAAAAGACAGAGGAATAAATATGACTAACTTTCCTATGCATATATATGAATATACCATTGTGAATCTCACCATTGTGTACATCCACAAGACACTAATTTTAAAAAACTTTTAAGTGAATAGCAAAAAGATCAGCAGAAGGAAGAGAATAGAGGGAGGGAGGAGGGAAGGGAAAGGGTAAGTACTGAGGACTAAATTAGAACAAATTATATTCTATGCTTTTATAATTACATCAAAATGAATCTTATTGTTATGTCCAGCTAAAAAGGACCAATGATATTTTTTTAAAATTTTTATTATTTGACTTTTCCAAACTTTTTGCTGTAGTTTTTTCTTTTTTCTTTCTTTTTGGGGTTTGGGACTGGAGATTGAACTCAGGGCCAAGCACATGCTAGGTAAGTGCTCTATCACTGAGCTACCATTACATCCCCAGCCATGATTTCTGTTCTTATTTCTATTATTTTCTTCTTCTTGATCTAGGTTTATTTTGCTCTTTTTCTAGATTCTTGAGGTGGATGCTTAGGTTTTGCTTTCATTTTTGTTGTTGTTTTGTCCAGGGTGTTTTTGTTGTTGTTGTTGTTGTTTTGGTACTGGGAATTGAACCCAGGGTCACTTTAATACTGAGCTACACCCCAGCCCTTTTTATTTTTTATTTCAAAACAGGGTCTTGCTGAGGCTGGCCTTTCCTGCCTCAGACTCCCAAGTAACTGGGATTACAGGTGTGTGCCACCATGCCCTGCTTACATTACTAATTTGAAATTTTTCCTCTTCTCTGATATAAGAATTTTAGTTCTATCAAATATCCCTTAAATGCCATTTTAGCTGCATCCCACTAATTTTGATGTTTATATTCATTAAGTTTAGAGTATTTTTTTATTTTCCTCAAAACTTCTTTGACCCATGGATTATTTAGAAATATGTTGTTTCATTCCCAAGTGACTTTCCTGCTTTCTTTTTTTAATTTTTTTAAACTTATTTCTTACATACATGACAATAGTGGAGTGCATTACATTTATAATTATCCATCCACAGCACAGTTTTTTGTAACTCTGTATATAGAGTTTGTTCACACCAAATTTTGCCATTATACATGAGCTCTCTTATTTTTTGGCATACAATTCTTAATATACCTTTATACCACCATTTTTCATATCTCTGTTTGTATATAAGGTATGTTGACCCCAAATTCACATCTTCATACATGTATTTTGTATAATGATGACCCTCTCCTTCCATCATCCTGCTGTCTTTCTATTACTGATTTCTAATTTTATTTTATTATTTCCAAACAATAGTCTAGGATTTCACTTCTTTTACATTTGTCAAGGTTTTTTTTTTGTTTGTTTGTTTGTTTTTTGTTTTTTAAAGAGAGAGAGAGAGAGAGAGAGAGAGAGAGAGAGAATTTTTTTAGTGTTTATTTTTTTTTTTTAGTTTTTGGTGGACACAAAATCTTTGTTTGTATGTGGTGCTGAGGATCGAACCCAGGCTGCATGCATGCCAGGCGGGCGCTACCGCTTGAGCCACATCCCCAGCCCGTCAAGGTTTGTTTTATAGCCCAAAATATTTTTTATCTTGGTGAATGTTCTGTGAATACCCAGAAGGAATGTATATTCTTCTGTTCTTGGGTCCTGTTGATTGATCACATTCTTCTGTATCCTTACTGATTTTCTACGTAGTCATTTTATTAATTGTTCAGAGAGTACTATAGAAGTCTCCAATTGTAATTTTGGATTTATCTATTTCTTCTCCCAGTTCTATCAGTTTTGTTTTATGTATTTTGAAGCTCTATTGTTAGATGCATATATAAATTGATCCTTTTATAATATAATGTCCTTCTTTGTCTTTGGTAATTCTGTTTGCTATGAAGTCCTCACTATTTAATATTAATATGGTTTCTTGATTTCTTCTGATTCATGTTTATATGGTATATTTTTCCATTCTACTTTTGATCTATATAATGATTATATTTGAAGTGAGTTTCTCATAGAGTTGGGTTGTTTTTTAAATTCACTCTCTTGCTGTCTTATAATTGTATTTAAACCATAACTTTTGGTATGATTTGGCTTAAATATGTCATTTTACTGTTTGTTTTCTATTTGCTCTCTGTTGATTGTTGTTGCTCCTATTTTATTTTTTCTCTTCTTATGGGTGACTTGAATAGGTTTTTTAATCCCGTGTTGATTTATCTATAGCAATTTTGAATGTATATCTCTATATAGATGTTAGTGATTGCTTTTGTTTTTTTTTTATATTTTTTTTATTGGTTGTTCAAAACATTACAAAGCTCATGACATATCATCTTTCATACATTTGACTCAATTGGGTTATGAACTCCCATTTTTACCCCAAATACAAATTGCAGAATCACATCTGTTACACACTCACATTTTTACATAATGGCATATTAGTGACTGTTGTATTCTGCTACCTTTCCTATCCCCTACTATCCCCCCTCCCCTCCCCTCCCATCATCCCTCTCTACCTCATAGTGATTGCTTTTGGTGTTATCTTTTAGATACATAACATCAGTCTATTGATTTCTACATTTTACCATTTTGAGTGAAATATGGAAATCTTACCATTTATATGTATTTATTTGCCCTTCCCACCTTTATAATATGAAATTGTCTTGTGTTTTGTTTTCTCTTACATTGAGAACCACATTAGACAATGTTATATTTTTTTCAGTCATCAAACTTTAGAAAACTCAATAGGATAGTCTGCTGTATTCACCTGTATCTGTATTCTTGCTTTATTCCTGATGTTTCAATTTTCCTTTTTTTGTTCATG